TCCGACGCCCCCGCTGCTTATCAGGTAAGGACCGAGCTTTCCTCCTCCGGCCCCGCTCCCCGGGGGTGCTCGGCCGACCCCGGGGGGACCCTTCGCGTACTGGGAGCCGAGGGGATGGGTTTGTTACCGATGTTGCCCCCCCGCTCCGTTCATATTCCCGCGGATTCACTGTAGCAGCTTTTTACTGCTGGGTATTAATCTTGGCTATTCTGGTAGTCGCTGTAAATTCGTGCCTAATTAGAAACATTAAAAAAAAAAAAAAGAAAGAAGAATCCGTTGCCATTGAAATTCTCTGAAAAATAACATTAATATCCATAATCTGTCACCCCTGCCACTATTAATAACGAAAAATCTTTAACATTTATGAGGAATGGATTGCACGGTTATCTGAAGATGTCTCTCTTTTTGAGTAATCGACTTCTTCAGGGTCTGATATGAAAAGAGCCTTTGACCCGATCTGTTGCCACCTTCTGCCATTATTCAGATAAAATGAAATCTAATGCTGATAGATGGGGAGGTAAACCAGGACTGGTTCTGGGAGAACAATGGTAGCAGATGTGTACCTAGTAATACGGGAGGGCTGCGCTCAGATTTCCTGAAATAAATCAGAAACCTCAGGCTTTCTCTTTCAATTTCGAAAGTATTGGGTGGAGAGACACTCTGCATCTTCCTGAAGTTTGTTTTAGATCGTGGCACTTATTTCTTGGTGTGTTATTGGTGTGGCAATGGATGTGTTACGGTCATACACCACACTGCTCTGGTCTGCTATCCCAAAATATTTGGAGTGTGACCAGGAAAAAGAATCCAAGAATGTGTAAACATTGTTGCTGTAGTAGCCGTGTCTGCTGTGCACCCACAGGGTCTCGCCAATGGCACTCTTCTGTCAAGTTTTATTTTCCCTTCTTGTTCTGCTTAGGATCAGACATTGTGGCCTTTCTGTATTCTGGAGCTGAGATAGATTCAAATTGGCAGCTGGGAGTCATACGGGAATAAACTCATATTTCCTCGCAAAGTTTGGATCTGCCTGTACCTCTTATATGTTAAAGATGTAATGTATTAAGTACGTCTCCACAGGCTGGGTCCAGGGAGATTTTAGTACATAATGATAAATATGAATGTTCTGTAACAATTAGCATCTTCAGGAATGGTTTTCAGTTTAAATGGAATGTTTACTGAAGAAAAAAAAAAAATCTTTACATCTTTAATGACTTCCAAAGGAAGAGAGCAAAAGCAAGAGCATTTCTAGTGGGAAAAAGGAGTGTCCTCCAGGATAAAGTGTGACCAAAACAGCAGTTTGTCAGATCAGTCAATTATCAGCCAATATTTATTGGCCATAAATATTTTGTTTGGTTTTAATAGGGAACTTGCGGTTGACTTATTTAAAGCACAGAAGCAATAGGTAGTCTTTTTCTTCCATTAAACGTGAATACAGGAATCCTTAATTTAAAAAAAAAAAGCCCTCCAGGTTCCAAAATCACACTTGAAACTGAATTTGTGATAATTAACAGGACAATCTTCCTACTGACAGCTCTAATTAATAGTATCTGTAATTAAAATCGTGCCCTTCCAGGAGGAAAATTGTTTGAATTTCTTGGAGTGACCTTTTTTGCCATTTCTCCTGGGACTATAGTGGTTAAGTTGATATTGATTTTATAATGAGCTCTGGTTTGTTTAATAAGAATCTGTAATCCAGACACTAAATGAAATGTGTGCTTCATTTCTTCTTCCCAGATTTATATATATTTTAAAATCTTCCTAGTTAGATCTGAGAGTCACATTTTGTGTTTAAAAACAACAACGACGCTTCGAGGATGCTGCTCAGTTTTTCAATAGCAAGACTGTATTAATATTCTTTGTTCCTGACCTTCGGGCCCAGTCCTAACCACCTGACTTCTTAAACATTTCCATTGGTTTTTCAGGGGAACTGTAGTCATGAGTGGGAGGAAAAATGTTTTTCCTTAAATACAAAGGTTTCTAAGGGTTTGGCTCTCCTCCCATGGAAGTAAATGGGAATTTTGCCATTTGTTTCAATGGCAGCAGTAGGAGGCCCCAGTATAGGCAGACAAAATACTTGGGCAGTTTTGATGCTGCTAAGTAGCGTTTTATCAAAATGAATCACTGAGCCTGGTTCTGTATATAATAAACTATTCACGTGGATTTGAAGAGAAATAGGATTGAGCCCTACTCGCATTGTCAAAATCGCCTTATGTTGAGCTGTGTTAAATGTAATGGATATCTGGTGTGATGCATGTTTTGGATAACATCAGTTCGGTCTCAGAAAAGCATCAATTATCTTTTTCCTCATCTTCTCTGAAACTCATAGGGGAATAATGTAACCCGTATTAATACGGGGGAAGGAAAAAGCAGATAGCTTTGAAAATTGTACCTACTTTGTTCTCTTCCGTTAAATGTTTCCCAAGTATCTACTCGGTTAACGCAGTGTATTTTAAAAATATGCAATATTTCAGCAGCTGCTGCCACTAGACTTCAAAGCACGATACTCCAATATGTTGCTCCTTACAGCCTAAGTGACAATTCAGATTTATTTTTACTAATTTGAAGGGGGAAAAATTGGTCGGTTTAGAAAGGCCTGGTGGCCCAATGTGATTCAGAGAGAACACTGAAATATCACTTAGATTCACATGCTTCTCAAAATGTCAGTGGTTTATATCTTCACATAAACAAGACTGACCTAAATTTTCAAGATTTAGCAGAAGCATTTTTCATGCTAACCCAGTTCAGCCAGGAGAGTTCATCTGGGGTTTTACTCCTTCCTTACTCACTCTGTGAACTTCGAAGAGTTTTTTCCCACAGCTGCTTTTTTTTTTTTTTCTTTTTAGTTTGCGCAGTGAAATACCAGCTTGAGAAGGGGAAAACAGACAAACCGTATTGTCAGGGAAATAGCAGGTTGGCTGCTAAGTCTCCCCCGCGCCGGTGGCGTAGCGCCTGTCATGCAACGTCACTCTCCCTTGGGCACTCACCTGCTAGCAGGAGCAGTTCTTGTGTGAGCCCACTTACCTACTAGCACGACTATTTCTTGTGTAAGTGCGGGTAGAAGTGACCAGTCTTAGGCAGAGCAACCGATACCGTTTAAAAGTTGAAGCAGGCAAATAAAATCTCTGCGGTGCCCTTGATAAGCTGCCAAACAGTCCGATGCCACTTGAAGAGGCAGCGGCGTGAGTCTGGTTCTTCAGGCTGGTTTGGTAAGGCAAGCAGCTGGCCTTCCAAGTGTTAAAGCAAGGTCTGGGAGACTAAACCCTATTTAAAGACTAAGTAACACTAGGAAGGGTAGATACACAACTGCAACTTCATTTATCTTCAAATCACTAAACAACAAAATTATAGGCTGGTTTAATTAGACAGTGGCTAAGGAGCTTTTCAAAATTAATGGGAATAGTGTACCTCGGAAAATGTCGCATGTGCATAAAACACATTTTATACATAAAGGCAGACAATTTTTGCGTACCTTTTAAACACGTCTCCTGTCCTTTCAAATCACACGTGTAATGATTAGATAAGTCAGCGTTAGCATTCAGGGATGACTAAAAAGAGGTTCTTACTGCCTCCGCGGTGCCCCTGCGCATGTGCACACCTGCACCCGTGTTTTTAATTGTTGCTCGTGTTACTTTGATCTTCTTTGAAAAGCAAGTTTAGCATTCTGCAAGCCCACTCTCTGGTCCGGGAGATTAGGGCCAAAGCGTTTTAGGAATTTTCAGCAGACACTCTTTGATTTATTTCACAACACTGAGCAGATTTTCTTCATGCCCTTTGAAGCCTTTAGAACATAACCCAGAGAAAAACAGGCCTTCAGACATGGGGGGCGGGCTGCAAACAGGGCCACTAAGTGCACATCTAACTTGTCACTGCTCCCATTAGCGAGCAATTTATTAATGTAATGAGCGTATGTTAGTGACTGCTACTATTTAGGGATGGTCTGTTTGATTCAGGGTGATGTATTTGTGAGTCCAGCTGAACCCTGGCTTTTGACCCCCGTGTGGGGAACGCTGGGTTGTGCGAGGTGTTAAATCATCAGCATATTTTATACTTTGCACTGCAGAACTTTCCTATGAGCATAGTCTTCTGCATCACTGATAATCCTCTGCAAAACGTTGCCCATAATGGAATTTAAAGGCAAAAGTTAAAATGCACTAAAGCTGGCTTCAGAAAGCCTGCCTTTTAATATTTCATGTCAGTAGCATTCTTTTTAATTTTCCTTCATCTCAGCCAAAAGAACTTCCTTTAAAAAGCGAGGGGGCAAAGACCAAGCTGTTTACAATGAAGTTCCTTCTTAAACTGCCTGAAGTATTCAAGGTTACGTGAGCCGTGCACTGTCAGTGCAGCTGGATTACATCATCAGCTGTTTTAAAAACTTGTTCAAATAGCTTGGTTTGGCAGGCACATAATTGTAAATTATATGTTAAATTCTACATTATTACATGTTTTATATTATATAAAAATTATATATTCCTTTGTCAAATACAGTCTTATTAATTACATGATCCTTCTGGATTCAAAGCCACTAAGAACTCCTCTGTGCTTTTAAAGATTTGATCCTGATGGTGTTTTTTATTAGAGATGTTAAGAACACAGTATTTACAACAATTACAATAAATATTTTGCTGCAAATTTTTTAAAAGGCTCCAACTGAAAGAATCCACTGGAAACATACTCTCTACTAAACCATCATGCCTGTTTTGTGGGTTTAAATACAGATAATTCATTACCTCTAATATGGCTTCATATTTTACACTCTAGACTGACTTTCGTAAGCAAACATGTTATTATAGTGTTAGACCTTAACGTTATAGCAATACTGTATATCAACTCCATAGAAAATGGAATTTTGTGAAGGAAAATTTTGCTGCTCTTATTTATCAAGTTCTCAGTAATATTCAAATTACCATCGGTATTGGGACGAAAGTAAGCTGGCAAACTGGGGTTAATCAGTACCGTGAAGTATTACCTCATAGCTGTGTAAAACTGCTTCATTTTCAAGGACCCTCACTACACTTAAGCAAAAAAGA